ATTATTTCTAACTCTTTGTTATCTCAGACAGGCAATCTTCAAATCTCTCAATTATTGGATATTTCTCCAATTTTGGAGATAAAACTTCGTACTGCAAATATTCCCACATTTTCTTTACCAGTATCAGTTCCATCATCATCACAAAAAACTTCTCATCAATCATTTATTGAAATTGATGAAGAAATTACTATACTTTTTGAAGGTGGAAAAGTTGTCAGCATTGATGGAAAAAGTTTATGGACGGTATTAAGAATATGTGTTAATTCTGGTAATATTGGAATTCCTGATACTCCTACAACAACTGGTGGTTCTACTTCATTCGCATATAAGAAATGGCATTTTGAAGGTCAGGAGGCTGTTTTAGATGTTGTAAGTTGTGGTAAGATTTAACATTCATTACATTATTAGGGCGGTAATAAACATATAATTATTAGTTGATTATGATTTCTCGTTGTGATTTCTATTGAATCAATAATTTACTGTCCCTACATACTAGTGATTTATTTAATAATTGTTATACAAATTCTTTTTGAATAAATTTCAATTTTAATTAGGTCCATCAATATCACGCATCCTTGATCAATCTTTATCAACATCGGCATCCACAGCTTTATTTCCTTTTCAAGCTACTGCTCGTTATATAGCTGTTGGATCTAATCCTATGCTATCATATTACGCAACTACTGACTCAAGTCGACCTTTTTATCTGGCTGTATCAATTGCGAGCATGGTTGCCTCTAAAGTTACGAATGCTGTATTCTCTCTTGCAAAAACATTATTAACTGCAACAGGAACTATTCAAACTGCGGGTTCTGATGGTGGTTCACCTATGGCAAATATCGCGCCTGCCACATCTATACCTTTGGTATTGTCTTTAAAAGATACTAATAGAAAAATAACAAAGATAATGTATGTTTGGTTTGATTTGATAAATAAAAAATTATTGTAATGAATATTTTAATTATTCAATTTATTATGAATTTTTAATTTATTCAAGGATGTCTCCTGCCGCTGCGGATGGAAAATATCAACTAGCTGCTCTAACCGATTCTTTGGGCAGGGTAGGATAGAATTTATTGTATACATTATATGTGGGATCAGAATTTAAGTAGATTTGAATTTCTTATGATTTTAGAGTTCGTGTATAGGTACCTTAAAATTACAATTTAATAAGACATTCCAAATCCACTTAAAATTCTGTTACATAATATATTGTGTTATTTTTTAATAGTATTAAAATAAAATTTATTTTTAGGTCACTCTTGTAGATGTTGAAGAATGTGAAATCATTGCAATGTTCAAAGGAATTCGTAATGCTCAATGTGGATGGGTAGAGGCAATGGATGAGAATGAACCTGAGGATGATTGTACAAGTCCTAATCCGAAACATAAAAAACGATCAGCTTCTAAACGTATAACGCTGTTTCTTGTAATATATTCTCCAATACGAGGGGTTGTAGAAATTCATCATATGCGTCATGGAACTCGTATCGGTAATTTTTCGATTGGTCAAGGTTGGAATTTAATTACAACTGCTTCTGCACCACTTGGAACTAGCATGGGTGCTGGGCGAAGTTTTTATGAACGTGGAGGTAGACGTGGATATAGAAACGCTGGTTTGGCAAAATGTTTCTTGATTGGTCCACAGGGTGAAATTAAAAGAGTTCATGTACCATTTGAATGTGCGGTCAAGTAAGTGATTTATTTTTAATTAACTATAATGTGTTATATTAAATGCATTTTATATTAAGAACATTCTTATTTATTATAGAAAGCCTGTTAATCTTGTTAATGTATTTAAAAATCTATTAAATAAATATGAATCAGCATCTTTAGAACATAAAGATTCTCTTTCACAAGAATTAATGACAACTCTTGATCAAATGAATGATCCAAAGATGAAATTAGATGTTTGTGTCTTCTTTCTCTCGAAATTTAATTATGATTTTTGATAATTACATAGTTCAAATATTATTTTAGGCACTGATGTCACTTCCTGATACACTACCTCCAACGTTCCACTTGCTTGCTACACAATCTTCGATTGACTGTATGGGAACGTTGGATTCTTTTGATTTTTTGGAATTCATACATGATGTACGTGACCAAGTAACACAACATACTGATCAAGCAAGCATGAAGCTTGTTCGATTAAAAATGGTTTTACGCGAGAATTTGTTACATATTTATCAAACACTAGAAGGATGGAATGTTGAAACTTGTAATCCAAAAGATTACACTGCCATTTATAAAGGAAATCGTGGAAATGTTGAAGGTGTATTTCTGCAAACTATAAATTCAATATTTGGTGACATTCTTTATAATAAAGAGATGATAATTGAAAAAGATGCAAAAGGAATTGGTCCTAGTTCATTTATGTCCCCTTTTATGCTAAAAAGTTTTGACAACATAGCGGATGATGGAGTGTTTTTAGTATTAGATACTAATATGGATGAAAAGAAAAAGGTTCAATTAGGTGAGGGTAGAATTTAATTTCATAAAGTCTTTTATTTAATAACGTTAATTAACTTATTTTTATTTATAATGCCTTAATAAGTGGATTTTTTGTTTACTCCGTTAATTATATCAACAACTCCACAAGAATGGATTGAAACAGTTAGAAAGCGCATTCCGATATCATCCATTGAATGGCTTGATATTTTCATGATTTGGTTTAAACACACTAGTCTATCTTCATTAATCACTTCGATTTTAAAGTCTAAGGAATCAGATTCCAACTTTTCATCTTTGATTCTAAATGATTTTTCAAACTCAAGTGACGATAAAGGTGTACTTGATAAAATTACATTCTTTTGTCAGAATTCTTTTCAGGTATTTATGTCATCTAACACAATGCAGATTATTATTTTTTTTTTAAGAGTACGTTTAATAAAATAAAATATTTATTTCTCTTTAGATAGGACATTGCTTGTTATTAGCTCTTGCTTTTCAGAATTTGCCATCCAAGGCGTCTAATGTATATAAAGGGGTAATTTATAGTATTATTTTTGTACGTTTAAAAATAAATATATGAACTTAAAATACTTAAAATTTTTATACAAACAGTTCGATTGGAACTCATTAATAACAAACCTAAAATCCTGTTTGAATTTGGTGAAAGATATTGATCCAGGAATAATTATTGAAATTGGATTGTCTGCTTCTAATTTAAATAAGGTTCGATTTATTAATGTATTATCATATGCCATTTGTGTCTATACTTTAAAACTTCTCATGTTATTAATACTTAATGTTTAACTTTTAAAGTCGGAGAAAACTAGTTCAACTCGAATTTCTTCATTGAATGGATTAAAACTTACTGGAAATTATCAACTTGAAGAAAAGGTAATATATATGTTTGTTACATGTGATTTAAACTTTTGAATGGCGTTAACATTAATGCTTTGTGACGTGTTTATTGGAATTATTATATTTAGGAATCAGATATAGGAAATGTATCTCAACCAGATATATCACGTATATATAAGGGTTGGTTATCATGCCAATTATTTAAAAAAAGATGTTAAAAATACAGGTTTGTATTATTTTATTAAATAAAATAATTATTGGTTGGACAGTTTTAACGTTCGCTTGAGGTGAAATTCACCGGATTGTTGTTTTTAAAAAACGGCTTTGACAACCGGCATTTGTTATATGAACAAAACTCTAAAAAACCCTAACATCTGCTTTTAAAGCTTAAAATAAAATTTTCTAATAATAATAAAAAACATTTGGTGAATTTCACATCCAGTGAATACTAAATAAACTCTTTATTGGTCTATTATTTTGTAATTAAAGTTTAAATGAATTTCGTATATTATAGGTTTACTTGAATTTGCAGTTAGCCAAGCAAAGAAAATTAATAAGCCATCACTCAAAAACGCGTTTTTGTATCTAATATGGCATAAAATATGCCGAGAACAAGCAAGTTCTATAATGACATTGGTTGAGAAAGCGCGTAAAGCACCCAAAGATCAATTATGCGTTAAAAATTGTGGAACCTCGCGTAAGTATTTAATAATAATGTACTTGTAATTTATAGTAATTTTATGTACTTGTAATTTATAGTAATTTTACCAAACGTTAATTTTCATATTTTAATAGACGAAACGATAGAATTATTTCTGTCTTGTTTAAAAATTTTATTTGAATCATTCGTATGGGAACCGAATAAGTCTCTATATATTAATGATATTTTAGAAGTTGTTGAACCTATTATTGAATTACCGTCAGATGTTACTCAAGATAGGAATCAATATTTGAATGATGCATTTGGTACAATGATTGAAGAATTTATGATAATAAAGAATTCGGCGGATAATAAAATACTTTCCAGGTTTTATATATACATATATATTATCTTTTTATTGTAACTCTGTTTTGAAATTTCCTTTAATATATTTTAATTTCATAGGAATCTGGTGGATCAGCATTTAATTTTAATTCAAGTTTTATTACTGATATTTAAAATTGAAGTTCGAATGGTCAGACCGTCAAAATTGTTCGATCCAGGTACATCGTTTTTCACTCATTTATTTATAGAAATAAGTGACATAAAAACTATAACTTCTAATCAAAGGTAATATTTAAAATTTTTAATTATATTAAATGTTTTGTTCATTTAGTAAACATTCGTATAACAAATTATTTCATTATTTATAATTTCTTTTAAATAGAATAATGGAAGAACGAATGATATTCATAAAGAAATTGATCGAAAAGTCATCAAATTTTTATTCAGAAATTTTATTATTAGCAGATAAATTTGGATTAAACCAGAATGAGATAAAAGAAATTTGGCAAAATAAGTATGGAATGGTTAATATTTAATATTTATTTTCTGTAAGTGTTGTAAATTGTTCAAATATTTGGAGGTGAAAAGGGATTAATTTTTTTAATATAAAAGATATAGCTTTTGTATTTAATATGTTCTGTTTTTGCAATTGAACTTAATAAATAATTAATGTTATTAGTATATAAATTTGCTATCACATAAGACGAAATACTAAATATTTTATATTTGCTGTGCTTATATTAAAAATGATGTACGTCAACTATGGATGTACTGTAATAGAAATTTGGACTGGTAAAAAAATTGTTATATTACTTTCATTATACCCATATAACGGAGTAGACTTGGTAAAACATAAATTTTCAATCGGCAAAGCTTGCTATATGATGAATGTTAAACCTCATTAACTAAGCAAACAAGAGTAAATTTACGTATGATTGTATGATTTAAATTTTTAAAAAAATAACCTTTTATCAAATACTGATGTTTGGATACGAATTGTGATTTAAAATCTGATATTAATAGAAAAATAGTTTATCTATTAGAAAATGCGAATTACGTACTTTGTAAAGATTAAGTTTTTAATAAAAATTATAAACATTTTTGAAATAGATTCTTAACGAATGCTTGTTAGAGCATGTTGGAGTTTTTTTTTAAACAAAAATTATACAGTATATTGAAATTTTGATTTTGAGTTAAAAATAAACAGTTGAATATCGATATGCAAAGTTTGGCGGATCAAAGTTCGATTGACGTTACCTATAAAGTTGTACCACTCGCAACAATGAAAAGTTCTGACAGCATGATGATTATATCGAATTCTGCAGAGGATTAATTTTAAAATTCATAATGCTAAAGTATTGTCAATTTTTATTAGCGTTAATTTTGTTAAAATTATTTTCTTAATTAATTTTATGGGATTTCATAATATATATAGCATTTAAATGGCTAAATCCAATTCATATTTAAAAGTAAAATGGATCATAATACTTTTACCCATCATAAACAATTAACTAATTTAGATCCTTATGATCTTGGACATAATTATCAACATGGAATGGGAGTAACGTTGATGGAATATATCAGGTCGGATATTGTTATAAACAAGAGATTGGAGTTGAAAAGGATGAACATAAGGCATTCATTTATTTTCAACAATCTGCAGAGATGGGAAACGTTGATGGAATATTTCAGGTCGGATATTGCTATGAAAGAGGAATTGGAGTTAAAAAGAATGAACATGAGGCATTCATTTATTGTCAAAAATCTGCAGAGATAGGCGACGCTGATGGAATATTTGCACTTGGTAACTGCTATCGAAGTGGAATTGGAGTTGAAAAGGATGAACATAATGCATTCATCTATTATCAAAAATCTGTAGAGATTGGTAATTCTAGTGGAACATGTAATGTTGGATTTTGTTATCAAGATGGAATTGGAGTTGAAAAGGATGAACATAAGGCATTTATTATTATCAAATCTGCAGAGATGGGGCACGCTAATGGAATAGTTGCACTTGGTAACTGTTATCGAAATGGAATTGGAGTTGAAAAGGATGAACACAGGGCATTTATTGTCGCAGATCATAATTTAAAATGAAATCTACATTTTCTATTCAACCCACTTATACTTGTTTAATATATCTGTATATTTTACTCTAATCCTAACCCCTAATTCTAACCACTAGCCCTAAAAATACCCACCAAAAAAAATTATTTTTCGAGATTTTGTATTATTATTTCATTTTAATCTGAATTTCATTTTAATCTGCCACATTTATTATCAAAAATCTGCAGAGATGGGGGGATGCTATGAGAACAAATAATGTTGGATATTGTTATGAAAAAGGATTTGGAGTTAAAAAGGATGAAAATAAAGCGTTCGAATTGTACATGAAATCCGCAAAGATGGGTAATACCACTGGAATGCATAATGTATATTTATGTTATCTATTTGGAACCGGAGTAACTAAAGATTTACAACTAGCTAACCATTGGTATAGGATGTAAGTGGCATTAAATAAATATTTTATATTTGATATATTTGACACACGTTTACTAATTTATATAAACAGGGGACGAAACAAATTTACATGAAATAATTTTAATGATGATTTAAAAGAGATATTGAGCGATGTGAAATATCATCAGCTATTATGGATTCCATACAATGAATTCAAGAACATCAAAGAAG